TCAAGAATACGGGAAGTTGATTCACGCACAACCACATTAACATTGTGGGTGCATGTTCAAAGTATGGAGAGACCTGGAGTTTTGGGGCCATATGATTCTGGGGAATTAACTTTCTATTTTTTGAATTTTTATTATTTCTAATTATATTCTTATATCGATGTCATCATCCTTCGGATGCCGACCCTAGATTTTTAAATGTGTGCTCCTGTATTGGTTCCCCTAAATTTTAAATTCAGATTTTATGTAAAAGTTTCAAGAAGGGAAAAATATAAACATTAAGCAAACTATTAAAAAATTCTTGATTCATCCTCAAAATTATATAAGAATATCTAATACATTGATTTACTAAATAAATATAATTTTTATGATTTTATGTCTAATTTTTAATTTACCGAGCTTATAGGTTGCTACTGATTTCAGGAAGGTAAAGTGACCGAGACACTCAGCCGCGTTTGAGTCAACTAGATCAAATCCTTAATACTAGTGATCATTTTATGCAGCTTTAAACCTTTGTATATAAATTCTAAGTTACACTGCAAATCATCAAATGTCATCAATTCCAAGTAACTTGGCCATGTCCGTGTCACCTCATCTTAGTCCATAAATGCTGACTTTTAGTTTGTACAACCACATTATAAAGTCCCTCAAGATATTCACTGAGTAGTATTATCTTATGGGTGCGATTTGTATAGAGTTGAGGCTCCAAACAATCAAAGTAAAGAGCACGTTCAAATAGTATTGAGAAATGTGGTTTCAATACTAGAATCTTTGTAATTACCTTAAACATATTTTCAACTTTAATTACAAAATTTAAAGTTTAAAAAATAGTGTAGATTGAGCAGATCTATGAAAACTTAAAAACCTTGAAAATTGACGGTCCAAAAATGTGCTACATTATGCACTATTTCCAAAACTTAAAATGTATTTTTTCTCATGTCCATGTATCTTGATGTCGAGATGATCAATTTGAGGATATTTGGGCATCAAAATATCCTTCTAGTAAAACGTTTTAGAGCGTTTTAGAATTGTTTAGAACCTTGACTCTAGATAAATGTTTTCCGTATTTTAATGATGTGACATTAATGGACAATCACCAAAACAAATTGATATTTATCGATTACTTTACAAACATATTGGTACACTTTAGCCTACTCATGGATAAACCCCTATTTTTTAGCCCCTAGATTTTGAAGCACGCTGCAATTGTCTACCAAAGTGATTGAAAGAATACAATTTTTTCAAATTTATTTTCCAATGAGATAGTAACTCTAACTCTCTTTATCTTTAATATTGTTTTTATTGTTGGTGGGGTATATAGTAATGACCAAATGTACTATGCTCCAATGAGAGTATATTGTGCATTACTCCCTTGCCCAAAATACCTATTTAGGAAGATTTCAAAGTCCAAAATTTCGGGAACCATATAAGAATAATTAGATGATTAATTTCAAAATAAAATATTTGAATTTTGAGTTTTAGGATACCTAAATTTAGGATTACAAAAATTGGGCAGTCACAATTCAATTTTGAGCACTATTTTTTTCTAGTACATAGAGAGTTTCTATAGGAACATTTTTTAATTGAGATTAGTATATAGGTTTTACAAAATACATTTCCAAAATTTGAGAGGTAAAAAGTATGCCTAGCATGTATTTTGCCCGAAGGAACAAATAGATAGCAGTCTGCAAGAGTAGGAAATCTATTGGCTATAATAATTCTCCCCCTCTCTCTCTCTCTCTTTCTCTCTCGCTCTCTCACTAGGTTGGGAAATGGCGCAAGGCGACGGCACAAACAAGGTGCCCATGGAAAATCGCAATATTTTTTCATGTGGCCTCTTCTGCGTAAATCATTTTATGGGAGGAGGAAGCAGCGATTGCATTGCTCCCACCGTTTGCGAGTGTACACATCCTTGCTAGCCACCATATTTATCATTTTGTGGTCCTAATGCTAGCCGACTCTACTAAATTAAAAAAAGGCCATGATGATGATGAATTTTCTTACCTGGTTAAATCAAACAAATGCTAGGTTAAATCAAACAAGGCTACCTTGATGTGGAAAAATTGGGTTTGCTTTGAATAAATGCAATATCTTTTGTCTTTGAAACTTTAAATGGGACTTTGCCTCATGTGGATTAATTTCTATTGGTTTAAGGTTTTTTCTTGGATGGACAATGAAAACTCCCAATATCCAAATCTATGGTCCTGAGGGTTGTAGTCATTCAATTTTGGGATGAATTGCGATTGAAATAAAGTGAGATCCATTAAAACATAAGATAACCCATTTGACAGGTCTCATCCTAATTTTGCAACGGTTGATTAGATTGCTATGACACAACACAGTAGAGATGAGTAGCTTAAAAAGAATGTGCTTAGAATGAGAGTTCATTATTTTTTCAGTGAGTTATTTGGGAAAGGGCGGCTACACTTGGTAGGAATTGAGCTTAGGACAAAGCGTTGCAAGTCGTCAAGCGTTAACGAATTAAGCCCAGGCTCTTTTCCTAAGAATGAGAGTTCATTCACAGTGAAACGCTACATATTTCTTGTAGTTTTAAGAAAAAGAAAATGTGATTTTTATAACTTTAAAACAAGGAAAATGTTTTGATAAGATTGCAACCCTATCAAAATAAGTAAAACCTCACCTTAAAACTCACCAAAAATTGCAGTTTTGACATTGGAAAATGTTCAAGTCGATTATTCGACCTTGACCATTATGGTTGTGAAAACATATTGAGATTTGTAGCCCTAAAGATGGCATATATTGTAACCCATTATCCAAACAGTTGATTTCACCCTAAAAAAAAGTATTCACGGATTTGCAAGATTTATACTAATTTTCGAGCTTCAAATTTTATAGTTTGTATTAGAAGTTTATTTAAAGCCATTATTGAGATTTCTGATACCCTAAGTGCTTTCCAGGTAAGGTTTTATCTTCTTTTTACCATTATTTTGAATTTTTTAAAAATACTTACCATAATTTGTACACACAATATGGGTTGCTGGCATATGAGTTGAAATCTTACCTAAATACTTTAAGAATTGCTTATCTGTTCAAGAAGCCTCACAAAATTTATCGCGGAAAATTATCAATCCCGCAGAAGTGCCCGAATCATAAAGCAAACACATGATGCAAACAAGTTCATTAAAGAACAAGCATTATCCATGAAATCAATACAAGTTCATCAGTAGGGGAGTGTGTTAAGCAATGAATGCAAAGAAGCCATCCTTGAAAGCTAACATGCTTTTAAGGATGGTTGATGATATAAAAAGGCCATCTGCTGGTATGAACAGGAAGAAAAACAAAGAAACAAAGAAATGGGGCTTGTGCATTTCATGATTACAACATAGTCGATGAAATCAAAAGGCCAGTCCTCAAGCGACATTGATATGACATACAGTGGTAGCAATTTGCTTGGGTCTAGACTTAAATATTGGACCTAATGGTTTAGTGCTAGATTTGGGTTCATCTCAGACCCTATCAGATCAAGTTAGCTCCGAATCAAGGTCAAATTGACTTGACTCAACAATTATATATAATAATAGAAAAGTATACAAAGTTACTATTTCCTTTTAATATGAGGGCACACTCTCGTAAGAATGGTGATTTTGAGTGTGTTATTTTGTCGACTCAAAGTTAAAAAACATTTATTGAACTTTGTGACACACTTCAAGCCATCAAATTTGACATCTAATGACTTGATATAGTTGTGACTTCCTAGTAACATCAAATTTGACATCAAATTTTTTTATTTTTTATTTTTTGATATTCATACATCTCAATGTCAAGATGATCAATTAAAAGATATTTTAACATTAAAAACTTTTTGGATAGATTTTTGAGGTGCATCAATAATTTTACATTTTAAAGTTGCAACATCATATAAACTTTTTCCTTATTTTTGTTTTCTATTTTTTATCACGGACTCAATTGGGTCAAATCTGGATCTGGGTTGGCGTGGACTTGAACTGACATATTAACACTCATAAATAACAAAGGAAAAAGTCAAAGTTACTCCAAGGAAGTATACTTATGCCATTTGGATAGATCTTTGTTGGCCCAGGGAATATAACTTTTTCAAATTTGGGCTCTTTCTTAGAGATGGAATTTGGCCCTAAAACTTTATGGTTGTGGTTTGTATACAACCTAAACAATCACAGTAGGGTGAAACTTCAAATAGCATCGAAATATGTTGTTTCAGTATCATGAATCTTTATGATGGTCAGAAAATCTACTTTGATCTCTAATTATAAATTTTAAAGTTAAAATATAGTGTAGATCGAGCAGATCTATGAACACCTGAAAATCTTAAAAATTGATGGACTAGATAATACATTACAAGATGCACTATTTCCAAACCTTGAAATCTATTGTTTCTCATAGCCTTACATCTTGAGATCAAGATGATCGAAATTTAGGGGCTTTCAGCATTGAAACAACCTTTTCTAATGTATTTTTGGGGTGCACCTTAATTTGATTGTTAGAGCCGAACCCTTATATAAATGTTTTCCAAACTTTATTGGCCAACAATCTTACAATTATGAATTGTAGAAAATGGATTTTCAATGAAGAATAGACTATTTAAAACGGTGTCTTAAACATTTACTTTATGGAAAAGTTTAAATAGAGCCAAGGCTCTAAACAATTTGAGCCTACCTCAAAAATTTCACTAGAAGAGGTTGTTTTGATGCTCAAATATCTTCAAATTGATCATTTGGACATCAAGATGCATGGACATGAGAAAAAAATGGATTGCAAGTTTTGAAAATAGTATATTTTGTAATGCTTTTTTGGACCCTCAATTTTCAAGATTTTCAAGTTTTCATAGACAAGTCGATCTACCCTATTTTTGAAGCTTTAAACTAATATATAAATGTGAAAATATATTTCAAGGCAATCACAAAGATTTCCAATAATGAAACCACATTTGTCGATATTATTTGAAGGTAGGCTCTAATTTGATTGTTTAGAGCCTAGGCTCTATACAAACCTCACCCTATATTTTAACTCTTCATAAATCATCAAATCTGCATTACTTTTTGAACTCCAAAATCACTGATCTAAGGCATAAATGTGTGACTTCGAATGTAATGAAAAGCATTTATTAAGATTGAAATCTCATTTATAGAAAAAGGGAAACAACCCATGAAATGCAAATTCCTGATTTTTGACAAAAATGAGCGTCGACACACTTGCTAAGTAGGCACCAATTTTCCTTAATGCAAGCCAATTTGCCTGTTAGCTTGTTGCAATGATCCTTTATATATATCGCTGATGCACTCCATCTTTTGTTTGGCCAATCCACAACCTACAAAGCCACAAAAATTGAAGGAAATAAGATGGAATAAAAAATAAGGAGGTGAATTTCAACCTGGGCCCTAATCGTACGTCTAGAGAGTAGGCCTAGCAGCAGGTGCCCGGAGCTGTTCCTTTGAACATTATGTTTGCGACAAAAAAAAAGGGTTGCAACTCTAAAAAAAAGTGTATATTGGAACAAATTATCTAAACCATCCATTTCGCTTTCAAAACAAGTGTTCACATATCCATGAGATCTATACATTTTTTTAGTCTTAGATTTTGTTGTCGGTAGTGGAAATTGATTTTAGAGTCATCATAGAGATTTCAATTGCTGAAAGTGCTTTCCAAACGAGGATTTGAGGCGAGGTTTTATGTTGTTTTCATAAAACCTACACTTTATAGAAACTTCATGATTTAGATTTGTTTTTACTATTTTCGAACACTATTTGAATTTTTTTCAAATTTATAGGATTTTTAAGAGTGAAGACTACCCAAGCGAGTTAAATCAGACTCTCTCAAGCAACTCTGCATGGGCCAGGACTGAGCCTTGAGGACTCAGATGAGTTTCAAAACATTGATAATGACTATAATAGACACCCTTTCAACTATAGTTGTAGACAATTATAGCACTGCATATATTGTAGAACTACAAATTATTATACAAGAACAAGAGTTTAGTATGAGTAGGATATAGGTTTCACTCCCGAATTCATTCTTTATAACCTAAATAATGTTTTACTGTAGCTAACTAAAGAGAAAACATTATGTCAAAAACATGAAATGCACATAAATGAATAGAAAATGGGGTTTAAATTGTTACTTGCATATGAGAGTAACAGTAGCACCAAGAAGAGGGCAAGAATGGCCATATATTTCATTGCTCCAACAAATTTAAGAAAAGGAAGCATGAAAAATGATGTTCATAGACCATATATATAGAAATCTAGACTTCTAATTATTGACAATACGTAATCATCCTCATTTGAGCTGCTTAAATTTTCCCCATGTATTATGGTTGCATAGATAAAATCGATGTAACTAAAATTGTTGGTGGTATAAGACCAAGGGGCTAGAAATGTAATCTTTTTTAAAACATCCATTGTATAAAAACTCAAGGGTTTAAATGCATGAGTATCTTAATACAAGACCATAATACACATATTTCAGCCTACAAATATGGTTTATACACATTTGAATAAAAAAATTCAACCATAATAGATTCCTTACAAATCCCTTACTCAAAAATACAATCAGCTTAATACAATATTCAAATATTCACAATGTACATCTCTACAACATATTGGATGACTTGCACTCGCAATTCCTCATTATATCAAAATTATATCACAATTTCATTTTCATTCTTCATCTTCATTATATATCATAATGTCTCATACACTAGATCATAATAATTCAATAAGATTTCAATTCGCATAAACAATAATGCATAGCATTAAAATTTATACCGCAAGATTAAAGAACAATCGCAATATACACACAACATACTCAATTTAACCAATCATGAATCCATTTAATAATTGTAAATACATCAAATTAACTTGAAAACATTCATGGGAAAACCATGGATCGAACCCCTTGTGCCCGGGCCACGAAAGGACCTCTTGAGGAATTAATTTCGTCTCATTGTCTAAGGCATGGGTGATAATAATAACTCACGGAGATCAATCCAATAGGAAACAAATGATCACTTTTATTTCACTTAATGGGGATTAAATCATGAGAGAGACATATATCAAAATAGCCCTTCAAGGTTTGAGAAAGATATTGTACAAAATAAAGAAGTTATAGTGAAACTACACCATGTGCCACATAAACTTTTCAACATTCAAAAAGAAACTCAAGGGACTATTTCATATGCTCAAATATGATTAAATAAACCTCTCAATAGTTATATATTCTCAGTAAAAATTGCAAAAAAATAAGATCAAGAACATCAAGTTGAAACTATTCAAGATCATAGAGTAAGGATGCTAGCCTACACATACTATGAGCATGGACTGCAATATTGATTTCAAACTCTTCAAATATCAAGTATTCGTGACCAAAAGTGAAGAAAGCTACTATAAATTAATAATTACAGGAAGCTTTGATAATAAAAATGAGGTAGGAATTAAAAATATGAGAAAAAAAATCAATACCTTAGTGAAACAATAGTACGGGCTTGATTACGTAAATGATAAACTACTCCAAGGACGGGTTTCAAAAATGAAAGCTCAAGGAAGAAGATAGTCTCATGAGTGGCCACATTTTTTTGTTAAGGGCTCTCTCACTTTCTCTCTTTAAAGTGAGTACTCGAGTTAGGGTTATATTTGATCTCATAAGTTACTTTTATACTAAGATCATAAAGATGGATTTGATATTGATCCTTGATACCTTAGATCAATGGCACATGAGAAGCTTTTATCCAAGCCGGTCATCTATATCTTACCACCAAGATCAATGGAAGAGCTTTTGACACCCTTCATTCTTTAAAACCTAGGTTTATAGTTATATTACCTTAAAGCCCTTAGCTTCATGTTTTATTTCTCATTAAGTCCAAATTCATGTTTACACTTATGCCCATGGTTTTTTAATAATTTGTGATAATCAATAAAATACAAGGACAGGAACATAAAGGTAATATGGGACATCCATACATGTGAAAAAATATCTTATGACACCACCAATAGGATTTTAACAGTACTAAAGTTTCACATGGGTCAAGCCCATAAGGTGGTGCCACGTAAGATATACGCACATGCTACAAAGTCATATGTAGACAATATTATTAATTAAATTAATTCTCAAAATCTCATAACTTCACACATGCCAAAAATTATACAAATGAGCAAAAAAATCATGTGACTTAAATCAAACTTAAGTCATAACAATATATAACACTTTAAATCACAAAATAACATATTATAACATAGTACCAACAAAAGAAATTAATGACAAATAGGTCCCCACATGGATATGACATCAACATGATGTCATCCATGAATGAGGAGGTGGGGATGCCAGGTGGCATCCCTATGGCCACTTGGGATCCATGTGGCATCCCCATAGAATGTCTTTGTTTGGTATTTATGTCAACCAAATTTGAAAATCACATTTTTTATTATTTAAAAAAATATGAAAAATTCTTCAAAAATCTCAAAAATTCTCAAAATGATTTCTCCATATTATTACACAAGTTCATATCAATATAAAATATTTTCTCATCAAATTTTGATTAATATGGGCTAAAAGGTAAATGAGATCTCTAGACTTATAACACTAGTTGGAGTCTTCTGTTGGGCTAACCCGAATGACGTTCTACCGGTATCTCAAGCCGACTCAACGGACCTATACTCTACAGTCTATGGCAGGGACACATAATTTGTTACATCAAAGTCGTTGAGCCACTAGGGGTTCAATAGATTACTAGTGCACCCTTGTGGGATCTGTTCCTACTCAAATATAGGGGTCTTCTCAAAGCACATGTTCACTAGCTCTTTTAAGTCAGATAATACTATAGAAGAGTGGTTTTTCCATACGACAGTGGGTGCACAAGCCATGTAATGGTCTCGTGTCAAGATACGAGCTCAGGTCCCATGAGTCATCCATTCTATACAAGGCGAACACTCTTCAAAATACTCGGGTTTTATTATTCTAGATTGGATTCTCGGAGACCTGGCTTTTCACATCAATTATGAGGCATTCTAATTAATATAGTCCCTACTGGGAGGTGACCCTTACACCTCCTTGAGAGTTCACACACTCAAAACCTATACTCTTAATACCTCAAATACTCGAGGTATGGATTTGGACCCTAGTGCGCAAAGTATCCATATTCGGTCTCGCTCTAACTCCCACTGAGCGTAAGATCATTGGCTTTAAGGCCTTGAAAAGCCACATAACCAACATTCTCCGACTTAGCCTTTTGAGGCCCAATAAACGATTCTCTCTCTTATTCTTATACACATTAAAATAATTTAAAACATCAATTCTCTATCATAAAAACAATACTCATATCAAGCAATGGAGCAAGTATCAACAACCAAGTTACCTTTCTCAATTTCATATCATGCGCAAGCGTAAATCATTGCATGCTCCATAAACGTAGTCAATCAACATGGTCCGTTAACATAATAAATAATCATGAACTAATAAAAGCAAGTGTGGTCAAACATATGCAATTACAAGAGCAAATTGTCATGAACTCTTTCGATGTCTGGCGTATGTCATATAAACGACAAATCACAATTTAAATGTTACGTTCGATCTCCTTCATCCACATTCAAATGTCATGTAGTTTATGTGTCAACATTTCACATCACACTCATGCCAATGCTTGCTATACTAATCTATCATGTGCTAATTGCGAAAGTAATCATCATCTTCAACAATCACATATTCTTATAATGCAAAGAGTATCTCTAAAGGAAAAGAAATATGGAAACATATGGCATGGCAAAGAGTATAGTACTTTTATAGGCATAATGGTTAACAAGATATATGTTATGTGCTACGGTCTCCCCATAATCAATCTTATATATCTCCTACGTATTCTCAAGTTTCCTAATCACTTTTATAGAAACTTTTATGTGCATGTTCATGACAATTTATTCTCATAAAGATTGACATATATGTTCACATCTATCTTCTTACTTGCTCTCTCAACGTTTATTCATGTGCTCAAAAGTTCACAACTCTATGTACATATCAATTCTCAAGTAATACAGATTTTTACTTGAACAAAAGTTCGTTAAAATCATGCTTTAATCTCATGCATTATTCTCAAAGTTTCCTTAATCACGAACTGGTACCATATCTATTCAAAATCAAGGTGTGAGAGTAGTGCTTGGGCTTTCAAGCATTTCATTATTCAATACATTCAATCTCGTAATGATATTACACTCGAATTAGATGGCTAGCAGGTGCCATTATAAACCTATGAATTAGATCCAACCCCAAGATAAAGAGAGGTTCAATTATACATGTCCGAGTGACCAAGCACATTATAAG